CTTTTGACTGCAAGGATGAGTGCTATGAAGACATGGGACGGTGGGATTCCTAGGTCTTTGCTGACAGCAGAGGGACAGGGATGATGGACCCATGCCCAGCTCTCAGTGAGTTAATTGCTGCCAGGGTCCCTGTCCCACCCTCAGCCCCAGTGCCAGCTTCTATCCATGCAGTCTCCTGCCCCATGGTATGTCATGTCCCAGCCCCAGACTCCTTCCCACCAAGGCTCTTTGCTCTCCCAGGCTCAGCTCAGCACAGCTGCCCCCCTCAGCAGCCATACCCACATCTTCTGTCAGGGCTTCCAGTTTTCATCATGGTCCCACTTCTCCCTTGGCTTCCAGTTTTTCTCCCATCAGCCTCCCTCTCCCTCCACCCCCTCCCTCGCCTTACCCCGCTCTCCAACTCCCTGAGGTTTCCCTGCTCAGGCAAACCCCGTCCCCCATCCTTGCTGATACTACTCGCAGCCTCTCCTCATGTATTTTCTTTTGGGCACCGAGGACCCTCCCCAGGCCACTGCCCATCCGGGACAGTCCCCTCCGGGGATGAAGTGCCCACCCAAGGATGCCACAGTAGTGAGCAGTGGGGAAGTCCAACATCAAGTCTGTGCCCTGAGAGAAAAACATAAGAGGAGCCCATTGCTGAGAAAGGAAGAGAAATGCAACCTCTGAGGTGCCACAGAGCTAGGACATCTTGGAACATGAATCAGCAAAGATTTTACCTTTAGTGCTCATACAAGCCTCTACTAAGCATGTGCCGTTTTGGGGTGGTTTGAATGCTTTTAACCTGGCCAAGAGCAGGTGATTTTCTGAAGGAACACCATCCTTGACAGACCAGTGGGGCCACAGGACAGGTCTTTGCTCCCAAGTATGGGGACCTTAGAGCAGTTTGTGGAAGCCCTCACCTGGGTCCTGCTGGTGCTGCAAAAACTTTCACGTTATTCCTGGAGGTGATGAGACCATTTGGACTGAATGTGGGACCCCTGACACAGTCAACTGCTGTGGAGACTTTGAGCCAAAATCGTTAACATTTGGCAGAATGACAACTATCCGAAAGTACGATTTACAACACAAAATACCAAACATTAATAACAAATAATAACAGGCAGAGGTGATTGCCGCACTTGTCATCACAATTGTTACCCAGCTAATTAGCATTTTTAAAAGTTGGTAATTTAGAGGTGTAATATGACACAGACAAAATTGAGATCGCTCTGAGATCCATCTAAAATGCCAGGAAGCAGTTTGGTGTAAGAAAACCTGCAGTTTTGTAGTAGCTTCTCAAAGAGGGGACAAAAGGGGAAATGAAAAGGGGGGATATAAATAGAAGTATAGAGGACTGCCTTTTTGGGAGTGAGGGAGGATGTCTGGGAGGGGAAAGACAAAAAAGTGTGCCAAAAAAGTGTGGCTAATGTATGTATTTGCAATTCAGTTCCAGAGGATAAACTAGGCTGAGATGCCGCCTGGAGGTCTGGAGGGGCGGCACGGCAGCGGCACACAGCCCTGGCCCTGTGCCGGCAGCCCTCACCGTGCTGCTGCCCGCTGCAACCCTCACTGGGCTGCCTCTCCCAGGCCCCACTTCAAAAGCTTCTCAAGGGAAAAAGCATAGCATCTTTTTCCATCTCTCATGGAGGATTTCTTAACCGATTTGCAAGGTCTTTCATATCTAAGATTTTGTTATTCTATCAAAAACACTTTGGTGCTATCCTATGAGGTACCGTAGTTAACTGAATTTAAACCATAGCATTTGGGGTTTCCTTAAATGGGAAAAAGTACTTCATTTGGTAATGCAGTGACTGAGATCTGTTTTTCTAAATCTCTAAGGAGATGCTGTGTAGAACCCCTTTAGTGATGATGGGCACATTCCTGTTGAGCGTGGTCACCCCCCTCCTCATGTGAACCATTTAGGGACTAGCAGCTCCTCACTCCTAGGATGTAGTCTGGATTTAAAAGGATGGCTCTGTGCTTAAGGTATGACATGAGGTGTCGGCAATCCCAGCTGGGTCTTTGGGGCAACCCTGCCCAAGACACCACCTTTTTCTTTGTTTCTGTTTCCTGATCTGCCAAAAGGGCCCGCGAGTACCTCTGCACCACCCGGCTGCTGTTGAGGTCCGACCCTCTTCTTTCTCAAAGCCTCTTGAGATCCTGGTGCAGAGCTCCAGTGCTCTGTGATTGTGCATAGAGTTGTGAGATCTGAAACTTGGCATCATCTTAGATACAATTGTTCCACTCTGATAATTTAATTAATCAACACTGCAGCAGAGTGTTTGAAATAATGTGTGCATTCATTTGCATAATGGCTGTAATTGGCAAAGCTTCATAATATAAGTGTAGCAGTTCCACAGATGACAGCATGATAGACCATAGTCCTGCAGGCAGCCAGCAGCACACATTTCAACCTCTGTTATTTGCTTTTCCACGGAGGAAGGAAGTGACAACTAGATTTATTGACCAAGGGACAGAGAAGACCAGCAGATTTTTGATGGCACTTGAACACATATATTTTCTACATGACTCCCTTGCTGTTGCTGCTCTTATCAAGATAAAAAGGCCATAGTCAGGTTTTACAGCAGAATCTCCACTCCAAATGGAGTTAAATGCTTTTCCAAGTAACAGGATGTTTGGCCATGGAGATGTCCAAACACAGAGCCAAAGCTGGTATTTTCACTGTCATGTCAAAGTGGAGCCCATAGTTTCAGAACCACAGTCACTAGGTACCTGAGCAACTTCTGCAAAGAAAATTAGCAACTGCCACTGGAGAGCCCCTTGCTTTGGTACCATCTCACTGGGAATGGCCTCAGGGAGTGGTCCAGAGCCTCTAGGGCATGTTGAAGTTAGTTCTCAAGGACAGGATATTATTTAAAATAAATACTCACCTTGTAACAAACATGACTAAGGCATCAGTGGCCATGCGGTGGTTGTAGAAATATTAATCTTCAGGAGATGGGCTTTAGGTAATCAATTGGCATCTTTTAGCTATCTTACTGTATTCATTACTTTGCAATTAGCAAGGCAGTTATTGACTGTTAACCAAATGCCAGATGACTGCGAAAGTACATGTGCTGAAGAAAAAAAAGCAGTGCAGCAGAAATACATTCCCTGCTCTGCACACAAGTGCATTGATATAAAAGGGCCCAGTCTGTGCTCTCAGGAGGACGCCTGCTGATAAGCCTGAGTGCAGAATAGCCGTATCAGGATCAGACCCATCATTACTTCATTGAAATGAAGTGACACTTGAAAACTAAGTTCCCAGAGAGCCGTGTGAATGGTTCAGAACAGGGGCTCCCTGTTGGTTTGGAGAGTGCTTCAAAAGTCATTTGATACCTCTCCATTTTAGCTTCCCTTCCAGGTTTGAGGGACCCAATGTACATTCTCAAGAAACATAATAAGAAGAAAAATGTGAACTGCTTTAGCTAACCTCTGCTGATATCACTGGCAGTTGGTAGGAGCACTGCAAACCCCATTTTTCATCATCAGTAGACGTGGGAAGAGCTATGGATGTCATCTCTCTGGACTTCTGTAAAGTCGTTGACACGGTTCCCCACAACATCCTTCCCTCTAAATTGGAGAGATACGGATTTGATGGATGGAGTGTTTGGTGGATGAGGAATTGGTTGGATGGTCGCATCCAGAGGGTAGTGGTCAACGGCTCAATGGCTGCATAGAGATCAGTAACGAGTGGTGTCCCTCAGGGGTCTCTATTGGGACCAGTACTGTTTAATGTCTTCATCAATGACATAGACAGTGGGATCGAGTGCACCCTCAGCAAGTTTGCCGACGACACCAAGCTGAGTGATGCGGTCGACACACCTGAGGGACGGGATGCCATCCAGAGGGACCTGGACAAGCTCAAGAAGTGGCCCCGTGTGAACCTCATGAGGTTCAACAAGGCCAAGTGCAGGGTCCTGCACCTGGGTCAGAGCAACCTCTGGTATCAATACAGGCTGGGGGATGAAGGGATTGAGAGCAGCCCTGCCGAG